GTTTTTATCGCATCCAAAATTCGATGCGATAAAGACGCATCACATGGAGGACAGATTTTTTCGCGAGAAAAATGCATCGAACTGAGGCACTGAATTTTCTGTGTGTATCATGCCTTACACGACCAGGTGACAGCAGCCATGCTGCAATGGGACTCTCCGCTTCACCCGGCATTCCTTTGCCGATGAGAGCTCGCGCAATATTCTTCCGTTTTACGCAACACTGGGAAGACCTCATTTGCAGGACTGAGTTTATTGCTGGAAGCCTGCAAATAAATGCGATAGCGCTCGATAGGGTTCAGATACGGACCAGGAAAAACGAGGAAAGAGGACTTCCATAAGAGATGCCTTTTGAAACGTTGGAATTCCACTCGCTTGAGAAGTTAACGAGGGGGAACCTCATCCAGGCTTTTAAGATCATTAGGGGCTTCGATTAAATGAAGCGTGGTCTAATTCGATGTTAGCAATAGAACGAGAGGAAACCAGTGCAAGTTGCGTAAACCCCAAGCGAGACTCAGGTTGCGGAATGACTTCTTCATTTGTAAGGTGGTAAATTCATGGAATGCGTTCAGTGATGTAGTAATTGCCCCTTCCATGACTTGCTTTCAGGTTCCTTCATTGACAAAGAGTCATCTAGGCAGAATGGTATCATGGCGTTTCTAACTGAATCTCAAACCAACAATATCAAGAATGACTGTTAAACTCCATCCTTACTCAGGAAACGGATGGGTTCGTCACCACTGCATACACTTCCGACCTGTTCCATATGTGAAGCCCTGATATGTCTTGGCTAGATACGAAGTGAAGTTCCCTTATTAGGATGCAGTTCCCTGAATGGCAAAGAGCGCTGTCACTCCACCAATGGAAGCGTTAGAATGGTGCAAAAACCCTATTCGTACATACGTGTATCCTTCGATGGAAACTCCAATACTTTCAGAATTGAGCCATTGTAATTTTTAGTGACAACGTAGATGAACCATTGGTTCCCAAGAGCTCAATCGAGTGATTAGATTCGGTTTCCTGGAATCACCATAAGTCATTGGCAGAGATGAACATTCTTCCGTTCGAAAAGGTTAACTTTAAAACACGGCCAACATTCTTGACCGATTTGCGATTCGAAAACTGGAAGTACATAACTGGTATAATAGTGAAATATTGCCCCGTGAAGCAACTTATTCTTCCATAGACTTAGTATGGGATGAAGTTTTTCCTGGCCCCTTCCTTGAGCGACACCTACAACTGCTTTTTAGAGCGGACGCTTAGAGGCTACACGATCAGGTCTCAGCACACACCTCACTTCTTCGTCTCTTACGTCCAGGGAGGCGGAATATTGGCAAGAAGGGGGATAGGAGGACCGGGATAAGTAATTGCTCTTCTTCCTCCTCTCCTTCCCAGCAGTAGCGTTCCAAGTGGGGCAGCCTAAACCCAATGATCACTCTCCCTCGCTTTTGTCTTGGCCAAGTGACGTAACCAGGGACTCATTTTTGGGTTTCTAAGGTTCCATGTTCCCTTCCCCCTATGGTAGGGAGAAGGAGTTTTGAGCACGAGGTTGGAGCAAAGAAGCGAGGTGGAAGAGGCGGTGGGCCCTGTTTTCTATCTGTCGGCAACCCACACTGCTACACTTTAGAACTCATCAAATCATCCTTGCCTCTCACGGACCACTTACACCTCTCGCAAGTGAAACATGTACTGTAGCCCCCACCTTTAAAGCCAGACATGCCTGGTGTTCTATATCCCTCCACCCATCCCTTAAGACAAGTGAGACAACTGCTCCACCTGGACATACCACTGATTCCCAACCATTCTCATAAGAATGCTATTGAACAGAATTCGATTAGTCTCAAATAAGAAGACCCGTGAATGCTTCACGGGTGGATTATTAAACCTCGATTTCGACTCTTGTTTTGCGCTCCGATGACGCGGTCATCATGTGGCATGATGCTTGGGCTTTCGGACCCACCGAGTTTAACGCCCATTGCTTGTCTCACACGCATCAGGTAAATGCATATTCTTTCTAGATAGACTAAATTCCACCCATTCCGCTCCAACGGCGTCTCTGGGTCTTCTGCAGCGATGGTCATGTGATTGGAAACAGGAAGGAAGCCGTCTGGCAGTTTTTTTTTAATACCATGGCAGTATGTACATGAAATTAAATAAGGGATTGTGTAAAAACCTCATAGGCACAACTACTGCTGGCGGAGAAACAGCAAGTAGAATGATTCGCATTTCATCAACCTACATTCGTACTCGTACTCGTATAATACGCATTAGCGTATGATACAAGTCTCGATTAATAAGCTGGCGAAGGTACAGGTGATTCCGCTTGTATAAATGGCCCGAGTATCACGTGAGTGAAGTGTGCCAACAGTTCGACAAGGGCTTTCTAAATTCGATATCCCATCCTCCTAATTTCAACATATTAATAGCTTGCTCTTCGCCCTGGCCTTAAAATTAGAATTAAGAGTGACTGGAAGTGATAAGCGATGGCCGTGCATCATGGTGCAGAAATCAAATGCAAAAAAAATCTGCTTGCGTCATATTTTAAAGGAATTAGCAATCTGACTTAGAGGAAACCGTTACGTGCATCATTCTCGGTGCATGCAGTGTTTGCAAGAGCAGAGAGTGGGGAAGGGGAGAGAAAAGTGGCTCAGATTTCCTGTAAAATTTCTTTCCATGTCCGCCAGTCCCTGTATTTTTTTTTTTTTTACAAAGATTGGAAATTTATGTGGAAAGACTCCCTGTAAGAGTAGCTCCAGCTCGAACATTTTCTTTTGTCATGTGAACAGCGACTTTAAATTTTATTTGGGGGGAAAATATGCAAGGAATGCATCCTATTTCCATCAAAAAGGACCATTCAATTGTGCCCTATTTATGAGTTTTCTCTTTTTTCTAATTTCGATAGGGGTGTCGAACTTAAACAAGAAATCACATCAGCATTAGAAACTAATGCAGGTGAATAATGAGAGACCCTCCAGGTATTGTCTCAGAGCATTAGTTACCACTCGAGAAGCACATTGACCAGTTAAATTTTTCATTTTCATTTTTCCATTGATCAGCGGACACGAGCGGAAGTTATTGCCAATAGTGTGACTTATGCCGAGCCACGGAATTGGAATCCCTGCAAATCGAACTTGGGCAAAATTATGTTACTTTCAAATCTTCGAAAGCAATGGACTGATGCAGATGAAACTTAGTGGACTATAAAAAAGAATTAAGTTTACCCATTTTTGAGTTTATTTCCCGCTGCCAGTCCGTTCTGTCCGACCCGCGAAGTCCTCTTCAATAGTCTGTTACGGAAAAGTAGTACACATTTCAGCCTGTTTGCATTGAAGATTAGGTGTTAGGTTTTTTATTGTGGCCCCTAATCACCCCTTGAATCCGTCCCCCAGCCTAATCGAGTTTGACACCCCTGGGTCACACGAAGGGGTAACTGTCACCAGCCTCATTCGCCGATCGGCAGGTGGGGGAGTCTTTAAGAAATCCAGGCTCGGGTCGAGGTTCCACGACCGGGTACCAAAAAAAAGAGGCCACCTGCCACGAGCAGCTCAAGCAATGTCCGTTTTTGTTACTCGATTCTCCCTCCTCGCGAAGACATAAAATGTACCAACAGCTGCGGAAAATGTAACGCTGTAGCATTATTTTATTTTTGTTATTCCTTTTAGCGTCACGGGAACTATATATAGTCGATATAGCCTATGGATCGGTCGCGTGGCACCAAAAGGTTAAGAATTTGACAATTCTATTCCACCGAATAGATCACGACGGAGCGTGGAAAGGAGGGCGAATATCGCCCGAGGCTGCGCGAGTGCACGTGAAAACTTGCTCTTGCTCGAACGTGCTGGGCAGGGAGGCCCAAGGTCGTCAGTCTGGCTCCTCTATCTTGACGGTCTGGTTGGCTTTTCACGGTCGAGTTCTTATTGGGCGTGTCAGAGCCGGTTCTCTTGCGCGGGTTGGAGTGGGCGTGCTCTAGAGTCTGAATCTAGTTCATTCTGTATTGAATACGTTTTCGTTCCTAAAATTATATATCATCGTCCTAGAGATGCAGGAACTCATCGCCCTTCTCGTTTTCTTGTTTCTCACGTTCCCATTCTTGAGATTTTAGAACACGTGGATGTTTCCAGTAAATCACGAGAACCTTTGACTCCATTTTCAGCCGCCCAGGGGCCCGTTTCATGAAATTTACAAGTTTTACAAGTTACAAGTAATTACTTGGATCGTGTTGTAGTTGTGCGAAGGGCCAGCGGGATCAGCTGGAAAAGTTAAACAAGACGCGACCATTGCAAGTACTAGTAACTTCTAAAACTTGTAAATTCCATCAAACAACCCCCAGGGAGTTTCTTTAACCAAGGCTTGACGGAAGTGAAATTTGTGGTGCACACACACTGCACATTTGGTTTCTGTGCATGTTCGAATAGGTTACCCTCACCAGGCCACAACGTCCACACAACAGGTAGGAAGGGGTGGCAGCGGAAAGCCCATTGCGCATGTCTCACCCACTTCCCACTCCTCCTCTTCATAGCCAAAGGCGATTTGAAAGGGACGACAAGTGGTGAAATCATCGGGTTCGTTTAACGGCTCGTTTAACACGAAGTCTATGGAGCGCCGTCGGTGCGAGAAGGGAAAGCTACTAAGTTGAGTCAGGAATGCCTGGTCCTTGCCTTATCTGTCTGTCCTAGATTGCATGTTTAAGAAAAACCTGTCTTGGAAATGCAAATACTGGTGAGGCCATTAATAGCTAATGCATGGTAGCTTTGGAGTCTGGTGTTTAACCCACCATCCGCGTACCATTTTTTTTTTAATACGTACCCATGAAATACCATTTAATTTAAGACCTAAAGGATTGGCCTTGTATGCCATCTTTGAACTACTTGCAACTGTAATTGATCAAACAGAACTCTGCACAGGACCGTCGAAACGATCAGGTAGGCCTAGAGACAGTAAATCCAAGCCGTCGATTCGACGGCTGGGAAGGCGGATGGGTTAATGCCGATCAACTGAGGGTTATATGAAGAAGAAAGCCGGACCATGAAAACGGGCCTCAATCACACCGATGAGCTGGCTGGCTAAACTTTCCGATGTTCAGGCGATGGAACGGGATGTTCCTTCTAAAGAATATCGGGAAGTGAAAATATCTGACAGCCTTTACGAAGACTGTCTTTTTTCAATTCAGCACACTCCTCTCATGATATTAGACACACCATGGAAAACTAAAAATATTACGTGCATACACGATTTAGTGAGTCGAATTTGTTTCTATATGTAGACACGGAGGGAGGAAAGAGATAAAAGGAAGGTCCAGGCATGAAGAGTGCTAGCAAAAACTTGCTCCTGCACAACAGGGAGAGGTAAACCTGTTTGGCTGGGCTCTCGTAAGCCTGTTGAAATTGATATAATGTCGGAGCCATACTCGGCATTATAGTAACAGTAACAGATAAACGTGTCCAATATATAGGGACGAGTATTGAGTAACAATTCTTGCTTTTTCCCCTCTGTATGAGAAGGGTCAAGAGAATTAGTTTTTACTAATTTTACGCGGTGTTCGTTAATTTTGGAAAATCCCCATATTATGCAACTCACTAGGTGACCCAGCGATTTCACTACCTTTCGAACCCTTCTAAGACGGCAACCTTTGACTCGAGGAACAAACACTGCACCTTATAGTAAAGCCATGCCGTTATTTTGCTTCTTGAGCCCAACTCCTCCTGTTGCCTGGCAACTTTTGTACAGTGGCGGCTCGTGGTATTTATCGCTAGTGGTTCGTCTATGGAGGCAGCGCCCTCCTCTGCCTACCCCCTCTCCATATATGAGCCACTAGCGATAAATATCAGGAGCCGCCACTGCTTTTGTATGATTGTGGAAGTGAGCTTCATACAGCTAGCACAGGATCAATGAGGAGACATCCGTTTACAGGGTGATTTTGAAGTCGGTGGGCAGGTGTACAGCATTCGAGCACGAAATCTAGGCGCCGCGGCTTAGTGAAACTGTGGGAATATTATCAGGAACATCATTGGAAGATCGTAGCGTGGAAGAAACATTCCTCATAGGGGCACAGCTAACGACATTCGTTTGCACAGCAGTGCAGCTATTTTGATATTCTTTTTTTTTTTTGCAGCACATGAAGAGGAAGTCCCCCCAGCCGATGAGGAGAAGATAAATAGAATCCGGGAGATCCTCAGAGAGAGAGGAGTGAAGTGGGAGGATGAATATACACCCCCAGTGCCGTTGAGGACGAGCAAAGAAGCTGGAGGAGTGTTAGATTCTCTGTCCCTTTTCCTCACTGGATCTCTCCTCCACCTTCCTCTCCTTAAGGTCTGTCTTCTTCCATTCTTCTCCCTGAATAGATTTTTTTTTTCTCCCCGTCTCAGCGCTGAAAACTGAAAATTTAAAAGTGAGACCTCATGCCTTGAGGGGCTGAAATAACGTTTCTTGCCTTTCTTCCCATTTACTGGCAAATTTAGCGGGAAATTTTCAGCACCTTTTCTATTTTCGGATTGGTTCAGAAGTAATGTATTTTGACTCTTGAGAAGGGAATATCCCTCGGAAGCCAATCCCACTTGTGTTCACATTGCAATCATCCCCAGTAATTCTTCTCACAGATGTTTTCTTTGAGCTTGACCTTAGCAGCCCTTGAACGGGAAATGAATTAAGCTCAGGTATTACGAGTTTTTCGAGAAGTAATTGCATGCATGAGATCGTTTGACCTAATTCACCATCATTTCAAATGTGAAACGACAAATTGGGGTTTATTGGAGTCAAAATCAAATAAGGATTTTGAAAAATCCTTTCATCTAACTCATAATTTAGGTTGTTGAGGTGGAGGGGGGGGCTATCCATGGGTAACACTTGGTATTTCATCAGAGGCAAATAAGGAGGAGCGTAGGCGGACCAGAATTTCGTTAGTTTTGAAGCTGCTTTGCAATATCAGGATGATGAAAGGTGCAAAGGTCTGGTCACACAACCCCTTTCATGGTCTTCCTTGCATGTATTTTGGCGAGAGTTGGGTCACCATAATCTAAGTTGGGTGGCTACAAATCCCTGTATCCCTATGCTGCTGCTTAGTGTTAGATTACACTGTAAAAAATGAAGTTAAAAAGGCAGAGTTTACTGCCCTCATACTGCATAGGATATCGCGGGCCGATGAATTTCCTAGGTGGCGAGTATATGGGAGTAAGGGTAATGGGCAAATATGTTCAATGCATTGCGCAATTGAGGTCTCTGACCCTTGGGACTGCCGGCCAAAGCATGTTGTCTTCTTTGATTGCAAGGCATTTGGCCTCCAGCGTCTGAAATATCTGGGATATATCAGTCTATAAGATGTATGCGTTTTTGCTAATTGTTTCCCATCCCCAATGATACTGTAGGAGGCAATAAGGACTGCTGCACTTATGCAAGCACAGAGTTAGGGTCGAAGTACTTCTTGCTTGAGGTGAGCATGACTCGCATTATAAAGATGGTTCAGCCATGACTCGGCTATTTTCGTGAGAGACTCCTACTGAGTTTGGGGATGGCACTTGTCATGGTCGTGACAATAACAGAATCCGAGTGTTCCTGGTTGCGAAATTTTTTTTACGAAAGCAAGAGTGACGATTGTAGAGAAGGAAAATGATGGACCTCGCCAGCCGAACGTTGTCTCGCCCCTCAACAGTTGGCGTTCTATGCTATTCATGCATAAAATATATAATTCGTATTATCCCTTCGTGGAAAGGGAAATGAATCATCTTGGTTGATGGATGGGAAACGCGTGGTCATTCATGATTTTTCGGGATTCATCGGGAACCATATTTTGTGCTGAAAATTGGCATTTGCTTCGTAGGAATTTCCATTCGTCGGCTGAGAAAACCTAGGTGGTCACGTTGAACAATTCATGACCAGCAGAAAATGAAGAAACTAAAAACCTTATCGATTGTGCCACGCATGAAGTACATTCTGTGATGTTGGGTACATTAATTTAGGAATAAAATACTCTAACTTTCTCTGGAACGCCCTGCATGTCAGCTCAGGTTGCAGCCCTCCGGAGGAGGTTATTTCTGTCTCTTTTCCTTCCGGGAACTGAGGCAGATAAAAAACTGTCAAGCAGTTGCTGCGCTACATTACAGTAACGACTTATTTGAAGAACACCTGTTTCTCAGGTTATGTTCCAGACTCCGAGTATGGCACGTGAACAACAGGGTGACCCCAAAAAAAAACCATACCAAACTTTGAAAACGCCCTCCTCCCAGCTCTCTCCCAAAAACGAGCCCGGTATGGTTTTTTTTTGGGTCACCCTGTATTATAAACTACCGAACATAAACCGAAGTCGAGGAACACATAAGACTTGGGGCTCCATTGTCTCATCCCATACAGAAAAGATTGGGGAAGGAGGACGTCAGCAACCCGTACACTCTTCTCCAATCCGCGACAGATCTCTTTCGGAGGCCCATCGTCCTCATCGGAGAAAATCACTCCTGTGAGACATGTTTCCTCTTCCTCTGAGTTTAGAACAATTATGCCTTTGAAATATATAAAATGCATTACGTAAGTATCGAGGCAATGCACGTTTCCCTATAGTAACCATGTGCTGATTGAAATAATCGCAATCCATCTCGAAGATCGATTAATTCCATCACTCCACGTAGCGATTGGATCAATTCTGAGTTGTGAGAGACTCGGGAAAAAATCGTCATTTCATTTTGTCTCTGTTGCCATGTAGCAAGAAGGCGCGAGGTTTACTATGAGCTGTTCGATGCTTGTTCGAGATGAAGCTCTCTCCAAATTTCGGAATCTTCAGTAGTCCAATTAGAGGATGTCAATGAGTCCGCATAGGATGCAGATCGCCTCAGAAGTATTCGAATACCATATAATGAAAATCACGCGGCGCTGATGGAGTCTCTCAATATAATAGACCAGGGGACACTGTTTCGTCTCTAATATATACTCTTCGGTTGTCAGTGGGCTCGGTACACTCTACCATCCATAATCGGCTGCATATGTCAGATTTTCATTTTAATAGGTTCCCTACATGTTCCAAGACCAGAAGGTAGATATGGGTCGATTACAGTGACTTTGCAATTGATTACAATTTACGAATAGACTCTATAGAGGAATTTCGATTCTGAGCGTCATTAATAATAGACCGCAAACGCATTTTCGATTAAGATTACGATAATTGCGTGCGAAACTGAAGCTCATTACGATCCGTTTACGTAACCGGATTTTTCTCATCTCTGCCGGAAGGACATACGAGCGCTTATCATCGTGAGTTGGAAGTGAAGAGCACACCTGAAAGGAGTTCTTGCATGGCTTAGTGACTGGGGATGAGGCATGCATTTCTTTGCAAAAAGGACTGAATCCCAATCAAAGCTGTGGGCAGGGCCGCCCAGAGGGGGGAGGGAGGGATCAAGGAAAATTTGCCCCGGACCTCGCGTATCAAGGGGCTTCCAAAGGGCTTCAAGGGAACCTCAAGGGATCCTCCAAAGGGCCTCTGGTCTAGTTTTGCCCTGGGCCTCTGGAAACCTCTGGTCGGCCCCGGCTGTGGGAGGACAAGTCTCCGTGCAGAGATCATGTGTGATCTCGAATGGGAGTGTTCCTGGCCCTCAGCACTAGGAAAAAATAAATAAAATCTAGTACAGCACATTCATGACGAATGCGGGAAGGAACCAATGAGAAGAACCGTAGTTGAATCATAATAACAGAGTAAAAAATCGATATTATTGATTAAAGAACTGAAAAATTATATTGCTTCATCTTAGAAACAGTTTCCTAAACTTGGTCAGCCCTCAAAAATCTGAGATATCCAGGATTCCTCAATCTTGTTGATCCTAAAAATACAGCTGGTTCCCCCTTAACAGAAAGATGGGGACCATTATTTTTCTTTTTATAAATAATACTGTCTCACGCATCTGCGAATAATGTTCAGCAGCACTTGATCTAGGCTATTTGAAGGAAGGGAAGAGGGGATGTTGATATGATTGTAATGAATTATTTCCAGGGACCTTCTTCCCTCGAGGAAGGGCTGAAGGAGGGGGAGATAAAGATGAATTATTGGGAATCCTCCTTTTCGCCTGGGACTCCTCTCAGCCGTTGAAAATCATCCCTGTTGTGCCTCGATGGGGTAAGGCCACCATCCATTGCTTTCCTTGGGTAGCATGCACCGAATCCGTTTAAGCTAAACTAATCTGATCTCACAATGGTTTCCTATGGGAATCAGTTTAACCAAGATAAACGTATTCCCATAGACGCCCATTATGAAAACGAATCAGCTTAAAGTTAAACGGATCTGGTGCATGTCACCCCTTCTTTCTGTCCCACCTTCCTCTTCTGCCCCACTTTCTTTCGTTTTCCTGCTCTTGTATGGACAAGTGAAAAAGTCCACCAATTCACGAAATGCGCGTGTATTGATTGACATCACATGCGTAAAATCCCAAAGTACTGCAAGTGTTTCATCATCTGTCCAAGTATTTAATGCATTTTACGAAATACTTTGTCCTTCCTGAAACTAATGACTGAAGACGATGATATTTGTAGCGATGGCGTCCTGGAAACGAACCACGAAAATTGGAGAATCTTGCGGTTTGTCAAACCCGCATCCTTTCGGATGGCTGGTCCGATTTCGTGGCAAGGGTTCAAGACTTCTCAAGTCTCTCTCCGTAATCAAAAGCATTTTGCACCGTGAGGAGTTATGTAAATATCCCTCATGGTGAAGTCGGAGCTGAAAAAGCATTTCATGACCAATCATTAATAAATCAAATGTATTATTGGTTATCGGTCGATAATGTAAATAACATTATTTTACGTCCCCACAATGTCGGAATATTACAGTTTGAATTAGGAGGATCATTCCTTTCCCTCCTCTCTCTTTAGTGGGAGCGTCGCGCGAGGCTTGGATGGAATCGGACGAGCTGCCCCCAGTGTACGGGGAGGGCCGGATCCCTTCCTCCTTCCCAAGGGAAATTCACTTCCGAGGAAAGGTGGATGTGCTCTGCGGGGAACACACTGTGCCCCTCCTGTGGGAGCTGGATAGGAACCTGGCTGGATTGCCGCCCCTTAGAACAAGCAATGAGTAATTGTTCGCAATCTCTTCCCGCTTTCATGTCTTGCTGGGTGGCATAACGCGTCCAAGTTCGAAATGTGTCGCAGCATTGAAAATAATACTAAAACTAGGAGCAGACATATTCATAGTGGAACCATTTTTTCTTCAAAAATACCCGCCTAGAAGACGATTTTGGGATCTTCGTCCCCATTAGTCCGGCTGGATCTAAACTCCTCTCCGTCGAAGTTGCATTTGCATGCTGAAGAGGGAAATGTGCAGCCGTGGAGTTATTCCGAGACTGCGAAATGCGAAACTTCGAAAGCGTTTCTCGTGGAAAGGAGGTTAGCAGTCATGGCGTATTAAAATTGCTGTAGTATACTCAGTTTTAGTCAGATGATGAAAATTGCACAAAAACGTTTATGAAGTATGAAATTACCAAAAATCACAAAGATTGGAAAATCTATTCATGCGAGATTTGGCATGGTTCCCCTGTTGCGACTCATATTGTGACTAACGGATTTCATCCGGGGAATAAAAATTGCCATCTTATTGTCCGAATTTCATTATGTGAGTGTTACTCCGAAGATCATGAGAACTAATTGGCAACAATGAGACACCATCGGATCTTATTTTACTTCAAAAGTGAACATTCGAAGCCCTCCGGCACAAATTAGATCAAGAAATCGCTCATGCATTTAGATGAACTCTTACGAGGTTGAAAGTCATGATAGTGTGTCCTCTCAAATAACGAGGTATCACAAAATACCTGGAGTTGGCAGGGAGGGAGGGGGTTCTTGGCCGAAGATTCATGGAAAAGGTTCCGGTTATCTCATTTTATTTTCTGGGCCTCCCAGAAGCACTCCGTGGGAAGCGCTTCGCCACCCGACGATAACCTATCCTTTTACAGTTGGCATATGTTGTCGGATATATAAAAAAAAAATTGGATATACGCCTTATACCTACGTATGACGAACGCCATAGATAACAAAGGAATCAATAGGCGTGATAGCGCCTATTACCTTTCTTCAACCCCATCCCGTAACAAAATTCAACCTCCTCGTATTCCTCTTTGAGAGCATCAACAGGCACGAAATTAGGCGTGTTTCCTCTTCAATCAACACAGAGCCGCTCCAGTAAGTTTGAAGCTCCACCTCCCCGGGTTGTGAAAAACACTGAATTTTGCTTTTTGAAGATGTGAATTTCATTCCCGATTTTTTTCTCCCCCCTTGGGTAGCCTGGGGTTTCTTCGCCGGAGACTAACCATGAGAAAGATATTAACTCATAGATGGCAAAAAGTGCCCCTTTTTGTTGCTCGCAATGCACCATTTCCTCGTTGAAATTTTTAAATTTAGTTGTCGTTCATTTAGGCTTAAGAGTGCTGGCTCTGGTCCGTTTCCCAGTGTTGCCGGATATCGTGCCGGAGTCATGTCAGATTCATGACCGCTTCGGCCTTCGTATCGGTGTCTGGATCTCCAAATTTTTATGCATGGGACTTTTTTTGCGCTGAGTTCATGAGATTAGCCAAGACTGGAACGGCGGCTAGCAGTTGCCAATCGATGCGGTGAGATATGGATATATCTTATCTAGACATCCCTGAATGAACAGGATGACGCCATGAATCAATAGGCGTGGTAGCGCCTATTTCACCATGCATTTCATGCTTTCCAGAGGCATTCTCTCTTCAGACCTCGTCGAGACGGTTGGAGGAACTCCAGATAGGCCCGACGTCCAACGTCCACATCTGACGAGATGTCTGGAAGACCACGGATCGATCACTATAGGCCTAATTGGCCACGTAAGTCGAGGATTGAGTTTCTTTGAGCGAAAAAAGGTAGGCATAGGCCTGACTTGAAGACAGTCTGTCATTTATGCTTAGGCCTAACGTTCTTGATTCCCGTAGAGAAGGGAGGGGTTGAGGTTGAGGAGGTTGAGGTTAGCCTTTGAAAAATGGTTTTCGCATTACTCCATCAAAATGTTGATTCCTTCCGTACAAAATTGAATTCGGAAGCGCTTTGTGGAAGGGATTCGGGATCTCAAATTTAGCACAAGCCTCAGCCTATTTTGATATGAAGCAAAAGCCACGTAAGAATAATGGGAGTCTTCTACAGCCAATATAGTGCGTTTCCAGACAGGTCGCGTCTCTCTTCGTTGTTTTTAGCGATTGATGACATTTTCCAATGGACGAATCGATCCAAGAGAAAACTCATAAGTGCACTGCAGACTGCCTTAACCCATTCGTGGATTATGTCCACTAAAGTGGACGGCTATGATTTTGGTTCTGACGTAGGTTTTTCAGCCACGGAACACATGCCTCGAAACTTTTGGCGCATCCAGGTGGAATATGCGACTACGGCAGAGTACTACCCTATAACTTTAAACAAACAAAATTTTTTTTTTCCTTTAAAAATGCACGCACGAAAGGGCTAATGACAAACGCTGACATTTCTTCCTAAATAGAACTCTGTCAGAACAGGTATGGTCCAGAGGAGCGCGGTTGCCTCATTGCCCTTCACGGGTTAATAACCCTGGTGCAATCCGGGTGCAACCCTGGTGCAACTCTGGTGCAACTCTGGTGCAACTTTCTCTGCTCTTGAAATTTGCTGACAGCACTCCGCTGATGCAAGCAGTCGAGGATACCGCGGATTTCATTGACATCAAGAGAATCAGAGAGGATTGGGACCCCTTTCGGCATTCATTGGATTCCTGCCAAATGCATCTCATTTATGCTCTAATTGAGTCATTTCCAAATGGTGATCCATGGCGTTCCTCAATGATCCTCGATTCGAAGAAAGCGTGAATGCTGAATGGAAAAAGGCACGACTGCTTGGTCATTCCGCACGGTCGAAGACAGCTGGCTCATGCTCGTTTCTTCAGGAAATCCTACAATGGTGCTAGAGCGTCTTTCTTGGATTCTTTGCTCACCGTTGCATCATTTTTCGATCGGAAAAGAGCAGCGGCAAGAAAAGACCACGGAAATTAGAAGAATATTAAGGGTATTAGTACTGAGTACTGCAATAAAAAAATGGTTTTGCATGTCCTTCCTGATCTCCGATCTAGTCCGATGGCAATCGATTGCTAATTCTAAAAGTGGCCTTAGCTTAGAAAAAGAAAAAGCAAACTAACAAACCTTTCTTTTGAAGGAGAATGAAATCCCAATTCCTTCCGTCTCATCGCTTTTCAACTGCAGGAAAACTGCGAGAGCAAAATTCTTGAACACTGGGATCGATTTCACCGCGTCCGAGTGAAAACGACCAAAACGTCCACCAGTTGCTCGATGGTCCATTCTGGCCGGTGTGAAAATCGCTTCCGACGCCGTTTGTGCGTGAGGCGAAACGCGAGAGAGGACGAGCCGACGCGAGGAGACGTGAGGGACGAGCAAGGTTCGCTTCTCGCCCGTGGCATTTCATTAAATCATCGAATTCCTTTCTGTATTACATCATATTGCAAAGATGGACACCGAAGCCGATTTCCCAATCGATTCTGAGGCCACTTCGGCTCTCTTCCTCCGATCTCACTTTCTTTTCGGCACTTCTCACCGTACGCCTGCAGGCAAGAGAAGAAATTCAATTCCTCTTCGCGTATAATTATGACTCGAGGGCAAGAAATTTTCATATTGATGGCAACCTGGGCCTATATATATGAATAAATATTCATGCATTATGCAAAGCGTAAGGTAGCCCCGAATACATTGACAAGATCCATGTTTCCCGCTAAGAATCAGGTTTAAACGAGAACACTTTCGTAACCACCTCATCTCAATCATCGAAGACTGCCCAGAACTTCGGAAATTTCTCGATCTTTCTGTCACCAAACTACTCTCATTCCGCAGTTTCTCGTGGCGTTTTCAATTTGATTTTCGCTGTTAATCCGTGTCAGGTTTGTATCCAGACAGAAAGACCGGTCTCTCCCATTCAAGGATAAGGTGGACCGGTCTTTCGGTCTGCAATACTAAAGTAGAAAGAATTTCCAGGATAATACTAATAAATCTCAAGCCCCTTTTTTAAATGTAATTTCTTCCTATTTTCAATACTGCGATATTTAATTCGCAATTACGAATTCTACCGATCAGAAGCACCAGAATAGAAAACTCTAAAAAAAAAATAATAAACGGCCGGAGAGAGCAGCACGCACACCCCGACCATTCATCCCGTCGCAATCCCTCTAACAGCCCTGCAATGACGACATCCGCCCAAGTTCCATCTCGAGACCGCCGGCCGAGCGCGATCGGCCGTGCCGACGATAAAGAATTGTGATCTCGCCGCGTCGCGCCCCCCCCCCCCCCCCCCCCCCCCCCCCCCCACCTTTGAGGGAAGTCCCACGCAGTTTCATCGAGGACTTGGGTCCAGACGCTCCCTTGCACCCGCCCCGCGAGCATCAAGGCTCTCGCGCTCGTCTTCTCTCTTCCCCGCAGACGCGATGCAGCTCCTCCTGCTCCAGGTTCTCTCTGCTCTAATTGGACTCTGTCTAGTCGGTGCAGACATTACCTTCCAGACTTCGGCCGCCGAGGACGTCTCAAAGTACTTCTGTGATGGTAAGCCGGTTTTCTGTCGACTTTCTTGCCCTCGGAACGCAGCGTGACTCGCGTGAAAGAATACACGAGTCGTCGACTGTGCCTAACCTCTCGTCCGGCGTCCATCGTCATGGATATCTCGGCATGGCTAGCATATGTGATGGGATATATTAGTGAACAAAAGTTTACATTTTCTCGTAACTTTTTAATGCTAATTTACTCGGTTTACGGTATATGGGCTTTGGATATAGTAACATCGTGTAAGGGGAGGAGAGAAAACAGGACAGTAATTGCACGAAGAGGGTAGATCGAGTCGTTCAATTTTTCGCGATACGAGAGTATTTGCTTCGATACCAGCAAGAATCACTTTCACATCCCATAGGATTATCCCACGGATCCCCGATTAGCCAGTTCGTTGAGGACGAAAAAGCCCCGAAGCAATGCATAACTCAGACCCGTCCCGTATCTTATCCTTCGATTCCTCTTCCTTCTCTCCCGTTATCGAAACCGAAACCGAAACCGAAACGGTTTTTTTTTTCCATTGCGACAAGGTCGCTCTCGGACTCGCTCTCATTTTCTCGCCCGATCCTAAGAAAACTCGATTTTTTCTATGAAATTTTGCCGGAAGGCGCTTGCTAGCTCTCATTAGCTCCAATTATGAACCGGTCCGGCAGTGCAGCGGTACGTTCTCACGATAATGCGAACCCTGGTCTTGCCACATCTCGAATAGTGCGGGCGCAAATTACGCTCCTTTATCATTGTTATTACTCTCATGTCTCATAAATAG